CAAATGCGAAGGTCTCCCATTCCTGCTTCCTTCGCAATTGCGAAGCAAATCTCGCAAATGCGACCATTTGATCGCAAATGCGATCACTGCCTCCCCCTTCCCAGTTCGCAAATGCGAAAACTATGAGGCTAGCCATTCTTCGCAAATGCGAGAAATAGCTCGCAAATGCGGAACCTGCAGGGGTCGCAATTGCGATGCCTGATCTCGCAAATGCGAGATCATAGGCCTGCACCAGATATTGCAACACCAGCTATGTTCTAAGTTCAAATTTCACTCTGTAGCCTATCCGAAACTCACTCGAGCCCTCGAGGATCCAAACCAAACATGCACACAAGTTTAAAAACATATACGAACTTGCTCGCGCGATCAAATCGCCAAAATAACACATAGAACTACGAATTGAACACCAAATCAAATGAAATTTTCAAGAAAACTTTGAAATTCCTATTTTCACAACCGGACGCCTGAATCACGTCAAATCAACGCCGTTTTTCATCAAATTTCACAGACAAGTCATAAATATGGTATTGGACCTATACCGGGTTCCAGAACCAAAATACGGACCCATTATCCAAAAAATCAAACTTTGGTCAAACACTTCAATTTCATTAAGCTTTCAACTTTTAAATTCCGACATAGTCCGATATCTCGAGCTGGGGACCTCCGATTTCTATTCCTGGCATACGCCCAAGTCCCAAATCACGATACGGACCCACCGGGACTGTCAAAACATGAATCCGGATCCGTTTACCAAAAATATTGACCGAAGTCAACTCAAATGAAGTTTTTAGGCAAAATTTCTTATTTTTATCAGTTTTTAATATAAAAGCTTTCCGGAAAGACGCTCGGACTGCGCACGTAAATCGAGAAAGGCTAAAACATAACTTTTAAAGGTTTCGGATCACAAAATTAGGTTTAAATCATAAGATGACCTATCGGGTCATCACAATGGAAAAGACACTAGTTGTTCATCATGCAATGGATGATAATTACTACCTGGAAGGAACGGAGGATCAGTACTGGAATTTATTAGAAAATGAAAAATTGCATAGAGACAATGACTATCTTGTTTTCCCAACAATTGTCGAGTAGGAGGGACTACCTAAGTTTCTACCACGGACGTTGGACGTAGGAGTCCCATATTGTTGTAGAAATCAAGCAAGTGGTCTTATTGATGATAGCGATCAAATACGAGAAATGTGTGTCAACTGGGGCCTAGATTGCGATGCCCTCGGGCCCGAAGGGTGCGTACAAGATGTTGACGAAGAAGATGAAGGAAGTGACAATGAAATAGTGCCAAACAGTGACGATAATGGCGAATGACAATTGTTATTTATTTCTTGGGGTGTATGTTAAATTGTTGTATTGAATCTTTAATGCTAAATATCAATTAGATTTAACCCCATTAGAAATATAATTTTATTTCATACATTTTACAAACTGAACATTTACAGACATTTAGTACAACAAAATTACTGCAATAAAACGCTACATTTATCCTTGATAATTGGCCACATTGGATGAACTGCCACATGGAGCTGAATTACCACCGCTTCCAAAACCAACTGAAGGACATTTATGGCGGTCGTGTCCTATTTGGGAACATATGGCACATTTACGGGCATAAATGATATCACCAACATCCATTTGGTTCTGTATATGCGTTCTTTTTTGCACTTGCCGTTGACGCATATAATCCTTGTTACACACCATTTTAAATGGTTCCGGTGGCCAATAATGCTCAGCACCAACTGGCTGCAACTGTCCACTATAGGTGTTTAAGTATGCAACAATACTATATTCTTTATCAAGGTACCTCGAAACTTGTATGTTAAAAGCACTTTATGGCATGCGAGCATGGCAAGTGATAGATTGACCATTTTCCACAGGAGCATAATCTTCTGGCTTCATTGATGGTGTGTGTATTATTCCCGCGGTTGTGATGCAGACCAGTGCGAACTTCAAAAATATTTCACTCGCTGCAATACTGCAAAAATGAATTCCATTGTGCTCGCTTCCTATATTTCTCAAATCGTTTCATTGGTTGTGGAATAAATTCAACACCCATTTCCATCAATGATGATGCACCTCTAGATCTTTCAACAAACCACTCTGCCATCTGCTTGAATGACATCTACATCATGACAGTGACATGCAATCCACGTGCAGACTTCAATAACCCATTGAAAGACTCTGACACATTTGTAGTCAGAATTCCCCATCTTCTACACCATCCACATGCAAAGTCCACTTGTAAAGCTCATGTTGCATCAACCAACGATAGGCTTCTGGGTCTTCTTGCCTAATCAATTACATTCGCCTCCTGAATTTACACTCTTGGTGATTTGTTGCAGCCATCCACATTAAATCATGTAAGTCCTTGTTCGGATAAGCCCTCTGGAAGTTGGCCTTCAAATGCCCAACACAGTAACGGTGGTAGGCATACGGTTTCTGCCATGCATGCAAATTCTGTACATAACTTAAAATACCGCCATGCCGATAAAAAATTAGACAAATACCTGAACGCTGTCTAACAACGTGCTCTTTCAAGTGGTTCAAAAACAATGTCCACGTCTCTTGGCTTTCATTGGCACAAATAGCAAATGCTAGGGAAAATATACTTCCATTAGCATCTAATGCAACGATGATCAACAACTTAATATCATACTTTCCATAGACATGAGTGCCGTCTATGGATATTACCGGTTGACAATGCACAAAACCATCAATGGATTGTTTAAATTCCCAGAACACATATCTGAATATGTATTCTGGTATTCCCGGACTCCGCTCAAGCTTCCATTCAATAACAGTCCCGGGGTTAAAGTGTTGCAATGCAGCCATGTACCTAGGTAGAGCGGCAAATAACTTATCTCAGTTATCATAAATAATTTCAAACGCACGTTTACGCCCGAGAAATGACTTTCTTTTGGTAATGGTACATCCATATACCTGGTGAACAGATGTTATACACTCTTTGATCTTATACCTTATGGACGCTTCAATGTGTGGAATCACGACAAGAGAAATCAAGTCAACATTCAAGTTAAAATGATTCCCACTGAATGTGTCCATTTCACAATTGTGGGTGCCAATGTATTTCCCCACAATCCACATTTATTTTCAACTTTCTCGCACGCAACATCCAATTACAACCTTGAAACCATCTACGACAAATAACCTTGTATAATTTTGGATATGACTCATGAACCACGATATCATGACACTCTTTTATGTTATACATTCGCACTACGCTGCTTAGGCGCGCTTTATCAGCAAAAAGCATGCCCTTAAACAGCACTGTTGCTCTAGATTCATCCCACATTGCTGTCTGAATTTCGTCAAGATCCCTTGTGAGGGCATCGACATCCGACATAGGAGGTGGAACATACTCCCTCGTCAAATCAGGTTCATCATTTTTGTCCTCATCATCATCACCCTTATTAAGGAAGGGTATGTCATCTCCAGACTCGTCAGCATTGTTATCATAATCACTATCATCTTCCTGACTATGCACATTTGCCAGATCCCGATTAAATATGTCGTCTTCGGGCAATTGAGTAAGGACTGACCTTCAAGTTGCTCGTTTTCACTACATAACCAATAAAATAATGAGTCTCAAATTCATCCAAACATTACATATAAACTTTATCACTTCACTTACAAATCATAATGTATTGATATCCCATGATACACATTATCTTGTTGATGATGACTCCCGGATGGACCACCGTGATCCAACACACCAAAACTAGGCATATTCCAACTGTCCGTTGGTTTATAACTTGTAAAATGCATATCTGGCTGGTACCCATGTGGAATATATGAGTGTTAATACACATTCAATACATAAAAATAAACATCGTAGCACAAAGGAAACTTAAAGTTTAGCACTCGGCTTGTAGATTATGTAAACTTGGGGAGAAATTATGTCCTCGCTCCGCATTCGCCCGTGAAGATAAGTTTAGATCTGGCCAAACTCTTTCACACGGAATCTGTTCAGATAAAACTGCTCCAAAAAATCACCCGATGATTGATGGATATCCCTATTTTACGGAACCTCATTATTGCGAACATCTTCAGCCTTGACGTACATTTCCAACATTTTTATCCCAAGAAGTTCCCGGTATTCATCCAGAGTCCTCAAAAAATCTGTCAGAGTTTCATAGTCTTCGATGTTAAACTCAGCATAACAAGCAACCCCTTGCGGAGTAATAGAATACGGATATCTTCTGGTTATTTTAATATTCACCGAACGTTTGCTCACTCTCATTTTTTTACATAACAATATTAATCTATCGTACTCCATTGTAAGTGACAACTTAACACGACACTATGAAGAACAACTATAGCGTACTGAGTTATTTATTGTTTTGATGAAATAAGTTGTATTTCATTAACAAGAAGCATCCAGGGGATGCATAGGTTACAAAAAAGGGAACTATCATCCCAATGACAAAAAAACTATTGTAAGGCTAAGGCGCTGATAAATTCCAAATAAGAGTCAGGGTTATATACAGGTGTAAAATTAACCCAGCTAAAAAGATTAACTAAACATTTGGCATTGAGTGCATGGTTGGCAGTTGAAATGCCATCAAAACATCTTTGATTCCTTTCTGTCCATATGCACCACAAAATACAAGCAGGAATCATAGACCATATCCTTTTGATGGACTTCCCAACTCTCCACGCATTCCAACTCAAGAAAGCTTCCCTGACATTGCATGGCATAGTCCAGTGCAGTCCAAAAAGTGACAAAACATGTTCCATATACTTGTTGCAACTGGGCAATGAAGAAACAGCTGATTAATTGTCTCTGGGTTGCAAAGGCACATGTAACATCTGTTAGGTAGTTGAAAATTCCTCCTGATGAGATTGTCCTGAGTTAAGCATGCTCCCTTTAAAGTGATCCAGCTGAAACATGTGACTTTTGGTGGTAATTTTGCTCTCCAGATAAGCTTCCAAGGTCATTGATCAATTAAGTCTTTGTTGGAGCTTAACTAAAGATAACTTGCTCTCACTGAATAAGTGACTTCCCTGCTATTGCCCCACTTGAGTTTGTCTCTGCTCTGGGTGTTGAAAGAGCTATTCTGAAGGCTTTCAAGAAATGCAAATGGGTCTTCAATCTCCCAGTCATTTAGGTCTCTTCTCCGGTTCAGTCTCCATGTGTTGTCCTCCATGTTTTGAGCAATAGTAGAATCTGGGTTGGTTGCAACTAGGAATAGTCTTGGAAAGGCCTCCTTTTGAGTAGTGTGTCCCAGCCATTTATCTTTCCAAAATTGAATGAGTGCCCCATTTCCCACCTGAAGAGATGTGTTGCAAGAGAAGTCATCCCATAGTCTCCTGATACCCTTCCATAACCCACTACCATAAGGTGTTCTGATAGCATTGGTACACCAGTGACTAGTAGCCCCATACTTTGCTTGAACTATCTCCTTCCAAAGGCCAGCATCTTCTTGGTTATACCTCCAGTGCCATTTCATTAACATGCTCTTGTTGTGAAGTGCTAGGTCTTTGACCCCAAGACCTCCAAGTGTTTTAGGAAGTGTGACTTTGGCCCATTTGACTAGGTGGAACTTGTAGCTGGAGCTATTACCTTCCCATAGGAAAGATCTCCTAATCTTGTCAAGTTATTTCTGCACTTTGACTGGAATTGGAAAGAGGGACATGGAATAGGTAGGTATGCTATCCAAAACACTATTGATTAGTGTTAATCTGCCGCCTAAAGATAGGTATTGCTGCTACCAAGAAGCCAACCTTTTCTCAAACTTTTCAATAACTGCATTCCATATTTCAGTTGATCTCCGACTGGCACCCAAAGGAAGACCAAGGTATGAGGTAGGGAAGGAACCAATGTTGCAATATATAATATCTGCCAACTCTTCCAACTCAGGAACCACATTAACAAGGTAAATAATGCTTTTAGACATGTTAATGTGGAGACCTGACACGGCTTCAAAAAGCATAAGAGTGAGGTTAAGGAACTGAACTTGAGATTTATCTGCCCCACAAAAAATAAGAGTGTCATCTGCGAATAATAGATGTGATACAGAAACTGTCAATCCTGAGTTTCTACCCACATCAAAACCTTGTAACCATTGCATCTGCTTGGCCTTTTTCAGCATTCTACTAAGCCCCTCCATGGCTAAGATGAATAGAAAGGGAGATATGGGGTCTCCTTGCCTGATCCCTCTTTTGGGAGAGAAGAAGCCTACAGGGCTTCTGTTAACGAGCACAGAGTACTTCACTGTGGTGAAGCTATATCTGATCCATTCGATCCATTTCTCTCCAAATCTCATTTGCCATAGGATTGAGATTAGATATTGCCAATTTAGTTTCTCAAAAGCCTTCTCAATATCCAGCGTGAATAGAAGACCAGGTTCACCACTTTTTTTGTCTCCAATCTAGCACTTCATTAGCAATGAGGACAGCATCAGTGATTTGCCTACCTTTGATAAATGCATTTTGGTACCCCGAGACCAGGCTCCTAATAACCTTTTTTAGCCTAGCAGTTAGGACCTTTGCCACTATCTTATAGACACTACCAATGAGACTGATGGGCCTAAAATCTTTGAGTTCAATTGCCCCTTTCCTTTTAGGAATAAGAGCAATAAAAGAGGCATTTAATGATTTAACCATGTGATAATTGTTATAAAAGTGGTTGAAGGTTCCCATGAGATCCTGTTTTATAGTGTCCCAACACTTTTGAAAAAAAGCCATTGTAAAACCATCGGGTCCAGAGCTCTTGTCCGGGGCACAAGAATTGATATAGCATTCCACACTTCCTCTTCCTCAAAAATATGTTCAAGACTCTCTCCTTTTCCTCTGCATTTAGGCTTCCAAGACCTTCAAATTTTGCACCAGGTCTCTGGTTTTCATTCTTTGAGTACAATTCTTGATAAAAATCAAGAATCACCTCTTTCACCTGCGCTTTATCTTCAATGATATCCTCTCCCACTTGTAGTCTATCAATACAATTGTATTCCTATGGGAGTTAGCTATCCTTTGAAAGTATTTAGTGTTTCTTTCACTCTCTTTCAACCATAGACATCTTGATTTTTGCCTCCATGATATTTCTTCTGATTTAGCTAACTGTTGTATCTCCATTTTCAATTGCAGGATCTTACTCTTTTCAGCTTGAGTCTGCACCCTTCCTTCAGTTGCTTGCTCCAGGATCAGAAGTTCTTCCAAAGCTTTATTTGTTCTGGTGCTGATTTTGCCAAAGACTTCCCTGTTCCATATGACTAGGTCTCTTTTTAAAAATTTCAGCTTTTGAGAGAGAATAAAATCAGGAGAACCATTTATCACATAGCCTTGCCACCATTGTTTTACCATGTCAGTAAACCCTTCTTGGTGTAACCACATATTTTCAAATTTGAAATAAGAGGGTTCAGTACTGAGTTATTCTCCACCACAAACTCACCCCCCCAATATAATGAAAGCCTAATTTTTCGCTCTTCGGACATTATGACAAAATACAAAATAACTTAACGAACAAATATTTTGGAAGACCTCAAGGATCCAGAATGAATTTTTACCTAATTCTAGAACTCCTTAAATAAGAAAAAAAACCTGCCCGGGGTACAATAATTGAAGTATAGTGCATGCATAATAAGCGTTATATATTTAGCGCCTATTATGTATGCGCTATACCCAATGAATTATTGGTGGTCAGTAAAGTGCAGAAGAATTATTGGTGGGCAGGACATTTTATATATAGCGTGGTTATTCACCGCGCTATACCTTAACGGACAAACATGCCGTTAAGGTATAACGCGATGAATAACCGCGCTATATATAAAATGGTACTCAGTTTTTTTTTACCTATTTGTGTTGTTTGAGTCCAAAAGAACCACACTTTGGTTCCGGACTCTGATAGTGGAGGATTGAAAATGAAAATTATAGTAGTACTAATTAAAAGGTTGAATTTGTTTAATAGAATTTTAGTAGAATCAAAATAATATTCTAATAATAATAGAATATTATTAGAATCCAAATGTGTTTAATAAATTTTTATTAAAGTAAATTTGTCACTAATCAAGAGATTTTTTAATTTTAAAAGCTACCCTATTTCTTTAGCTTCCTCTTATATCAGTCCCAGAGGAATGCCAGTTCTACAAATATTTTTTTTAGCAGATATGCATAGCTTGAAGATACCATTACTATTACTATTATTATTGCATTAGGACTATACAACTAAATAATTGTTTAGGAAATTGAGAGGCCAAAAATAAAAACTTGGTGTGGCGAGATGGATTTTGTTCCAATGAAATAAGCAGATGATATCTATATTCAAGCTCCAATACAATGTCAGAATCTAGAAGAATCTTGCTGGATGGAGACTTCATAGCTACAATTTCATTCTTAATCTTTTTGAAGAAGTATTAATATCTATATTCAAATATCTTATACAAGAAATGAATCAGACTCTAATCCAGAAGGTCAGCTAGAATTGAACACATTACAAGATATGTTTTTTGAAGGAAGAAAATGCTCCTAAGAATACAACAGCAGAAATTTCAAGACTCATCAAATAGTGAGGCTTCAAAGAGAGAATAAATGAATGCAAGTGTTCATATACTAGTATAATTTATGGATCCATCAATAGAAAGTTAAACACATACATTAAGGAGTACCTCCTCGACCAAAATTTTCTTGTGGTGAAGGGTCTGCAGATACATTGATCAGAGCACCATCTTCGCGAGCATGTTATCGTGTGAATGTGGAATTATAATCACCAACAGTCCAATATTTTTTGACTGCTACGACTACTTTCTCAGGAACAAGGGGGCCGTCTTCATGATCCATCAATTTAAAGTCCCATCTCATACCTCCTATTATCTTCTTCACCTTAATTAGCACCTCTACATCGTCCGTGCACTAGTGGTAATGAAGGCCAATTGGAAGAACAATAACATGTATCGCTATCGTGGTAGTACAGTTATTGGGACAGCAACAGTGACATCCAGTGATGACAAAGAGGCAGAAGCAACCAGGCTATGGCACATGCGCTTGGGACATGCTGGAGGGAAATCCTTGAAAGCTCTATCTAATCAAGGATTGTTAAAAGGCGTAAAGACTTGCAACTTGGAGTTTTGCGAGCATTGTGTCAAAGGGAAACAGACAAGGGTTAAATTTGGTACATCGATCCATAATACTAAAGGCATTTTGGATTATGTACACTCTGATGTTTGGGGTCCTTCCAAAACACCTTCATTGGGTGGGAAGCACTATTTTGTAACCTTTGTTGATGATTTTTCCCGAAGAGTATGGGTGTATACAATGAAGAGGAAAGATGAAGTGTTGGGAATTTTTCTCAAATGGAAGACGATGGTGGAGAATCAAACAGGCAGGAGGATCAAGTGTATTCGCACAGACAATGGAGGTGAATACAAAAATGATCATTTCAATAAGGTCTGTGAAAATGATGGCATCGTCCGACACTTCACTGTCAGACATACACCACAACAGAATGGAGTGGCAGAACGTATGAACCGGACTTTACTGGAGAAGGTACGGTGTATGTTGTCCAATACTGGCTTGGGCAAAGAATTTTGGGCTGAGGCAATTACATATGCATGCCACCTCATTAATCGTCTACCATCTGCTGCTATTGATGGCAAGACACCATTTGAAAAATGGTATGGAAAACCTGCTGTAGATTATGACTCTTTGCACGTGTTTGGCTCAATTGCATACTATCATGTAAAAGAGTCAAAATTGGATCCGAGAGCAAAGAAGGCTATATTTATGGGGATTACTTCTGGAGTCAAAGGATACCGCTTATGGTGTCCAGAGACAAGGAATATTATATTCAGCAGAGATGTTACCTTTGATGAATTTGCCATAACAGATAAGGTGACAGTTGAAGATGTCAAACAAACTGGTGGTGCATCAAATTAGGTGGAGTTTGAGGGAAAATTAATTTTTCCTACACAAGAAGCAGAGGAGGAAACTCATGAAGATTACCCTCTGGAAGAAGAGCCAGTAGAGAGGGAGATTCCAACTCAGGAACCTCGACAACAACTTGAATCAATAGCAACCAGCAGGCCAAAAAGAACAATAACGAAACCTGTTCGTCTCATAGAGACAGTTGCTTGTGCAACCTCAATTGTAGCTGATGGTGTTCCTACCACTTATAAAGACACAATCCAAAGTTCAGAAAGAAGATAAGTGGAGGATTTCCATGAATGAAGAAATGCAGTCCCTTCATCAGAATCGTACATGGAAATTGGCCAATCTTCCGGAGGGAAAGAAAACAATTGGGTGCAAATGGGTATTTGCAAAGAAAGAAGGATTTCCTAACCAAAAAGATGTTCGCTACAAAGCAAGATTGGTGGCCAAAGGATATGCTCAGAAGGAGGGAATTACAATGAAGTATTTTCCCCAGTTGTAAAACATTCCTCCATTAGAATTATGTTGGCTTTGGTAGCACAATTGGATTTGGAACTAGTTCAGATGGATGTAAAAACTGCGTTTTTACATGGAAACTTGGAGGAGGAAATCTACATGACTCAGCCAGAAGGATTCAAAGTTG